GGGGCTGCCAAAATGGCTGCCGTGGCAGCACCGGTGACGCCAACAAAATGGCCGCCGTGGTGCCCTCAGGGCCAGATCTGGTTATGGCTGGGCCCAAGTGAGTGATTGTGGGGTTAATTGGGCTAATTGAGGTGAATTAATTCAGGTCATTTGAGTTATTGAAGTTAATTTGGGTTCTCAGGGCCTGGCAGGGGCTGCCCAGGGCAGTGGTGGAGGCCTCATCTCTGCAGGGGTTCCCAAACCGTGTGGATGTGGCACTTGGGGCCACGGTTTAGTGGTGGCCATGGTGGGGTTGGGTTGGTGGTTGGATTTGGTGATCTTGGAGGGCTTTTCCAACCTCAGTGATGCTGTGATCCATGATGGCTGCTTTGGCTCCCGCAGCCTGCTCCTTCCCTGACCGCGTCCTGGCCTTCCTCCTCCCGAAGCTGGAGAGCAGCAATGAGAGGACCCGCGTGGGGACGCTGCTCATCATGAGGCAGATCATCAACAGCGCCCGTGAGTTACCGGGGTGACTGCGGTCCCTGCTGGGGTCTTGATGCAGGAAGGCACAGGGGGGCTCCAGGCTTTCTCCTTCCTCCCATGGGTCCCTTTCTGAGTCCCCAGCTGGGACCTGGGACAAGGGGATGAGCCCATCCTTATCTGCATGGAGAAGGAAGCCATCTTTGTGGCCCAGGATGGGGTGAGGGACAAAGTCCTCTCTGTTGGGGACAGGGGATGTTTGGGATGAGCAGCTCCGTCCTTGGCAGCTGAAGAGCATCACCGAGCTTCAGAGCCTGCCTTTTTCTTTTATTCAGCCTCTCAAATGGAGATTAAAAAGCCCTTTATTCTTTCGTCTATGAAACTTCCTCTGCAAGACAGCAATAACAAGGTGAGCTGAGCCTCGGCTCCTCCGTGGGGTACTTCAGGGGTGGGGGGTTTATTTTGGAGGGCCTGTAGTGCCATGCCCCTGCCTCTGCCAGCCCGGTTGTCCTTCAGCACCTCCTCCCATCGCTCGTCTCTCTCCTGGTTGGGGTTTTGGTGGTTGTGCCAACACACCCAGAACGGGGCAGGACACGGGGCCTTGTGTTTCGTCTGTACCCGTGCAAAGCCTCGGCTCACGCGGCTGCTTGCAAAACACCCATTTTGCCAGATTTAATGGCATGTGGTGGGTGCTGTGGCCGTGGGCTCCTGTCCGCTCCCCCACAGCTGACCCTGCTGTCTGTGTGGTGCCCAAACACCTTGAAAGACTTGTGTAGGACCCCAAATAAACTTCCCCAATACCAAAGGGGAGCCATGAGGGGGGCTCTGCAGCAGGCAGAGACCCCCCCGACCCTGCTGGCAGCTTCCCCCTCGCCTCACACTGATGGCTGCTCTGCCCACGCAGGTGAAGCGGGCCGTGGTGCAGGTGATCAGCGCCATGGCTCACCACGGATACCTGGAGCAGCCCGGCGGGGAGGCCATGATGGAGTTCCTCGTCCGCCAGTGCGCCCTGCCCTCGGTAAGGACAGCCAGGAGTGGTTACAATCTTGAGGAAAGGGACCTGGGATTAGAGTCATAACATCGCAGAGCTGTTTGAGTGGAAAAGAGCTTTGAGATCATCAAGTCCAGCCATGCCCTGGCCACCACTAAAACATGGCCCTCAGAATC